TGTACCTTCCCCTCTCTGTAGCTTCCCCTGTGCAGCTGCTGTGTGTTGTGTGGCTTGCCGTCTTGCACAACGGGGTTAAAAACAAGTCGCTCTGACGCCTGCCTCAGCAGTGCATTCCTATTGGTGCAGAAGCTCTGGAGCTGCTCCAATGGGGCGCAGCATTTCCTCTGCGCTGGGGGAGCGGTGTTGCAGAGGGCTGTGCTGGTTAATTCTGTTTCGTGCCGAGAAGCAATGCTTCTTGGGAGAATAATGGAGGAGGAGGAGGAGGCTGAGGGGGGGAAAAAAACAAGGCCGAAAGGGGGGTGAGGCAGGCAATCTACGTAATCATCTCTCTCTCTCTGCTCTCTCTCTCTTGTTCTTGTTTTATTGCACCCTTATGTTTTGTCCTTCATTTCCTTTTTCTTTCTCTCACTGTCACGCTGCCTGTCTTGCGTTCTTGTGATACTTGGCCAAGCCTATAACAGCAAAAAAAAAAAGCTCACCAATATTCAGAGTTTCTGTCTCTCCACCTTTTGAACTGCAGGCAGCCATTTTAGGCTCCATCACATTAACCCTCCTCTCTTTTTCCTTTCCCCCGGTCCTGTCTGTCTCTTTCTTTCATGTAACTAAGCAGGACAATAAAGGAGACCAAATAATAGTCAATTCAAATACCCAAATGCTTTGTGTGAGGTGAAACCTAGATTGCAAAACCCACAAGCACATTTCCAAGTGTGTTTGCTCAGAGGGTGTTGTCAGGCAGGGAGACGGAGCAAATAAGGAGCGGGGCAGAAGAAAAACAACCAAGAGAGCTTTTGCACCAAAGTCAAGCCACTTGACACCAACCCGCTCACAGCTGCCCTGTTTTGTAATTCACAGCAGCAGTGCTAAAAACAAAAGGGGAAAGGAATGGCTGGTGCCAGGGTTTTTCCTGTTCATAAGCACCTCACTCTGTCACCTTGAGCAAATGGTTCCTGTTGGGAAGAGCAAGGTGGGTGTTTTAGTTTTCTTTTCTGTAAACAGGCTTTTGTCTGTGGCCATTCACTCAGGATTCTTAAACAGGTTTGGTCTTAAAATAGAGCACCACCCTTAAACCTTTTGAACCTAGATTTCTTCATGCTAAAGCATTGTAGTTTTTTGTTTTTCAAATACCCCCCCCCCCCCCCCCCACACACACACCACACACACACACACACACACACACACACTATCATTTATGTTGCCTTTCTCAAGACATTTTTGGTTTGTTGTATTACATTCATCAAGTCGAACCAGTCAGTGGGACAGTTGAAGCCATACAGCAGTTCAAAATGGCTGCCACTCCTCTGGGTTCTTTCTTAGACTGACACCTTGCAATCTTGCACTGGTTCGTCTCACATATGTGTTGTGCTGCAAATGTTGTTGCGAGGTGGAGCCAGGACAAACCCTCTTGTCGCTCTGGATAAGACAGTCGGCCAAAAGAGGAAATGGAAATGTCATGTAAATGTGTTTGTCATGCAGTGAGATCACGTGGTGATAGACAAGAGGGTGTCTCTGGTTTATGTTATGCCAGAGCATGAGCTTATCTAATAACAAGATGGCTGTTTTGGGCTCCCTGCCGCTGCTAGACCACTACTTGGAAAACATTCCTCCCCACATTTGGGACATGGCTTACAGGGAATACTGCTACCATGAAGACTGAGTGTCCTCTCTAAAGCTCTTTAAATATAACATGTTAATCTCAATCAGATGTACAACAAACACAAAGATTTTGACTCCGATGCCTCTATTGTTTAATTTTCTTTTAAGTTTACAGCTGTCTTGTCTTAGGCACAGTTGCTTTCAGTTTGACTTCAGAGGGGAAAAGGAAACAGAAGCAGGACAGAGAGGTAGTCGAGCCCAAACACAGGCAGCAGTAGTTTTGTTCAGTTTTTTCTTCCTCTAGGTTACTGAGCCTCAAACAGACAGTGGCTGGCTTGTTTGCCCTGAAACAGATGATTGATTTTGTGTCATGCCAGCCCTGCTGTCGACTGCTCTCTCCCCCACCCCTCTTATAGCACCTACTTGGCCTTTGTTCTCCATTGTGTGCCTCTCATCCCCGGCCTGGTCCCGGTCCATTCAAGCAGCTGGACATTGCTGTGTTAATGGCGGGCCACTCAGCATGACAACAGCCACATCACTGCTAGAGCTGAAGCATTATCTAGTGACCATACAACTGAGCCATAGGCCCTTTGAAATACAGCACACCATCTCTTACTGTGGTGCCAGATTTTTGCCCGATTTCTTTACATCATTCCTTTACCCCCACGTCTCCACCCGTGCAGACTAAGCTTTGTTGTTATATTTTTGTGTGGTTGCATGAACAGTTGGTCAGTGCCCCAGTCACAGCTTGCTCCAGGAGTGTTTTCAGCTGGCTCTGCAGCGGCCATATCTGCTTCAGGAAGCTCTTGTGCTTTGTAATTGTGGTAAAGGCCTATGATTGTGCTGCTGTAGTGAGAAAGGGTTTGTCCCATTACATTACATCATTGTTTTATTTAGCTGGGGTCAGAGAGTTTCTGGAAGACAACAACACAATTTGGATAAGATGGTGAGTGAAGCGATGTTGTAATAGCTCTGTGTTATTACTGCGTGGGGGCTTGCACTTGTTGTTTTTGTCTTTTTTTTTCTGCTCGGTTGGGCTCAGACTGTTACGTCACCGTGACAATGGAAGCCATTGTGAATCATTACAATGTACAAGTTAGCAACATACATATATAAATACCTGTGCTAAAGGCCACTTTTCTCATTCTCTCACCGCAATCTTCTTTTCTGCTGTATGTTTTATTTTTTGACATATGAAACAGGCTAGTAGTAAGTGGCCAATATTGAGTATAAAATTCATGTTAGAGTCCTTAAAGTGTGTTTTTATGTGTGGTGTGTGTGTGTGTGTGTGTGTTGTGTGTGTGGGTGTGTGTTTTTTCTTTTTTTTTTACCTCTTTGTGATATTGTATGTGTTTGGGTGAGTGTGAAATAAGATCTACAGTGAGCCTTGCTTTCTCCCTGACCACATATCCCGTTTGTCTTAAAGCCAGGCCCTATTGATTTGCCTGTTTTTCATCTTCAATTTCCTCCTGCTGTAGCTCAGAGAGTGCAGCTCGACCTGCGCAGTGCTGGGGAATGGCAGATATATTCATATCCTGCCTTGTACAGCAAGCATGTGTGCGGGGGCAGACTGAGGGGGCTGGTGTAATCTCGCTGGACTGAATGTGTGGTGGAGGTTTGGCGAGGCACAGGTGGACGCTGCGAGCATGGACATGCT